CCCCCCCAACCACCCAAAAAAAAAAAACTTTCCAACAAAAAAAAGAAAACAACAAAACACAATTAAACAAAATAAAAATCCAAACCCTAACAATAAATAAACCTCCCCAAACAATTATTACTCGAGAATATAAAGATAGAAATGAGAAGAAGAAACAAAATTCTTACTAATTTCACTTTTTCAGATTGAGACAAATGAGGAACAAATTGGGTTTTGGTAGAAATGAGTTTAGAAACCAGAATAACATGAGGAAGAAATGGGGTAGGGGGAATTACTTTTCATGAGAGGGGCATAATTGATCTAAATGGATCATATGCTAAGCACGTGAAACAATTTTAACAGAAAAATTAAACTGAACCTGGATGGGGTATCAAAATTAAACGGGATTCAACCTTCGGGGTATTGAAGCGATAAAAAGAACTTCGAGGGATCAAAATTAAAAAATGGGTAAATTTTGATATAGAAGAGTGAAAATAAACCTCGTATTTACCCTAATCGCCAGATTCCTAATAAAATAAATCACAACAGGAAAGATTACCTGCAAGAAAGGGAGAACCTTTCAACAAGTGGCTTTTGCAACTGCAAGCTTCTTTCCTGCAATGTGAAAACATCGATAAATATTCCATAAGGATCACATGTTATTCACTTAATGGTGAACAAACACAAGTTTTTTTTTTCTTTTCTTCTTTTGTTGTTGTTGTTTTTTTTTTTGCATATTCAAATTATTTTCTATAAGACAAATATAACTTGCCATAAATTCCTCTAAGAAACTAACCACAAGGCAATGTTAATCGCCATTTTTTAATAAGAAGCGGTAGTAAGATTTTTTTTTTTTTTTTTTTTTGTGATAGACAAGAATATACGTACAGTTGTCAGGTATACAAAACATAAAAGGTTATTTGCAGATGCACCCTCGTACGATGGGGTGTAGCTACTTATTATTGGTTTAAATGTCTGCCAACACTGACTTTCCAGCAGTGGGGTTTTCTAAATCTCAGAAAATGAAGGTCAAATGGAGGAGGGGTAGTTTGGAAGCAAGGAAGCCCAATAACAAGGTGGAGAAAGGATTGCCCAGCTAACTGCTCCACACGCGCGGCCGCAGCCCTGCTGTATATCAAGAGGAGAGGTGAACCAAATAAACCAAAGACTCCAAAACCAAACTTACTCCTTGAACATTTTCAACTCCAGATATAACTCCTATGTTTTTTGAACTCCAAGTACTCATCTCTCCCTGAGCAATTAATTACTTCTTGTATATATCACTATATGATAATAACATGCATTTATTAAAATACTTAGCAAGCTACAGACTTTAGAGTATTAATGTTAGTGTAGAAGTCGAGAGGAAAAGACAAATTTATCTCTTTGTAGGGTATCAAGAAACTTGAGGTATAGAGGACATACTTTCACTTTCTACGATCTGCCGTACAATTTCTCATATCCACCTTCGGAAAAGAAGATCCAGGTTATCCAGCAAACAACAAGTACTACGATCCAGCAAACTGCAACAGGTATAGGCGGCAACGGGGCAGGTAATGCAGGTGGAGCTGGAGCTGCAGCAGGTCCAGGAAGACGGCATGGTAGAATATGCTTTAATCTGTTGCTCCTATAATTTTTCCAAAAGAAGTACTGTCGACGATGAGCCAATTCCTATAAACATAAGAAAAGACATTAAGAATGGCGGACAAATTTTCAAAATCAACCATTTTCGAAATTTAAATAGCAAAATCGACCTCTTCGAAATTTATTCAGCAAAACCGACCATTTTCTTCTGAAAAGGGTCGGTTTTACTGCGGAAAAATTTTTACGACATACACGGGACTGCTAGTCCCGTGTATTTCGTGGCAGTTTCGAATAACACGGGACTAGCAGTCCCGTGTTTTTTGCAGAGACTAACATCTCTACAAAAATAAAGTGCACGGGACTGCTAGTCCCGTGCACTTCCTGGGCGCAATGAAATGCACGGGACTAGCAGTCCCGTGCATTTCCTGCACATTCACAACTATGCATGCATTTCTGCTACGGGATAATTCCCTGTACAAACTCATATTTCAAATGCAATAATCATAAATTACACCATTGCATAAACACATATATCAATTCCATGTACAAACTCATATGTCAATTCCCTGTATAAACACATATCAAATCTAAAAATCATAAAATACACCACAAACTTACGAATCCAAATCCAACAAATCACGCCACAAACTTACGAATCCAAATCCAACAAATCACGCCACAAACCCACTTACAAATCTAATAAGTCACACCACAATCTCAGCTACAAATCCAAAAACCATCTATTGTCCCGAAATACGTTTGTAATGTACATATCAAAATAGGATTGTAATTTATATAACAATACCGATTAGCTTATATACATCCAAGAACTCTTCTCCTCCTCCTTTGTCTTCGGCCTCCTCTATCCCGACCTTCGATGAGTTCATGATCCGGTTGCGTTTGTGGTTGTGACGGTCCAGCTCCATCGTCAACACGTTAGGAAGGCCCAGCTTCATTGTCGTTTCTGCGCCGTCCTCGTCTGTGTCGTTGTTGACGTGTGTATACTAATTGCGCTACTTCTCGTCCATCATGAATGTCTTCATGAGTTCGATGTAAGGCTTGGTGAAGCCTCTGCATTATCGACTGATATATTGATGCATGTTTCTGTGCTTCGGAATATGTACCTGCGAGAGATAATTCAAAAAAATCTGAAATGCAAAAATTACTTTAAAATTCAAATTACAATATGTAAATTTTATATTTAATTCTATATTACCTGCTCGAGCAAATTCCAAGCCACTATTTGCAATGGTTTGAACATCATCTATTGTTGATACCTGCAAATTTTTAAAAAAACATAATTTAGCAATATTGAAAAATTCTAATAAAATGAACTTAAAATAAATTTGAAAATACTTACTAATTCTCTCTCATCTATACCCCGAGGCACATATCCTCTTTGGAACTCAATCGGGGACGTGGTCGCATGGAGTATCCATCTTCTAGTTATCCTCCAATACCAAGTGTAGTAATCTGATTCCTGGGGAGTTGGCTCGATTTGCTCAACAATATAAAAATGTCTATCATTCCATCTGTGTATATAATTTTAATGCTCAGTTGCCCAGTCCTTTTGTTGGCCTCCTTTCTTCGCCTTCCTCTCTATTTTTTCAACAAATTGCGGAACATGTTGTGCAAGACCAAATTGTCGAAGCACGCGGTCCGGTACATATATTTCTACTATCTCAAAACATATTAGAGGAACTCTGGCTCTCCATATAACTGGGTATTCTGTGCATATCGGGGGTAGATGATCGAGAAATGGGGTGTAGGGCTCTCATTCCATCTACAGAGTATTACATATAATTGTTGCATATCATTAAAACAAAAGTTGATATATAGAAGAAAAAACTCGTTTTTATAGAAATGATACCTGAAAAATCTTCATGCGGTCAAGCTCATTTCGGTAGAAATCTAACTGTCTCGCCGAGGTCTCATCAAAACATTTTTGGACATTCCATCTGTGTTAGTTTCAAAATTCAGTACCAAATGAATAACTACAATTATTCTACTATCTCGAAACATATTAGAGGAACTCTGGCTCTCCATATAACTGGGTATTCTGTGCATATCGGGCGTAGATGATCGAGAAATGGGGTGTAAGCTGAGACACCCTTTGAGGTCACTATTTTTCATGAATGCAACCTTAGACATCTCTCTATATAGGTACGCCAAAACCGCACTACCCCACGATAACGCACCACATGTGTCCAAGTCCCCGATAAGTGGTAACCACCTAGCATTTTCACAACATTGACTCTGTTATCAAAATAAGCTAAATCAACAGACATAATTGTAAATACTGATAAAAATGATACCTGGCATGCACTTTATCTTTACTCGAATCTGGAAATAATATTGAACCGATCATGTGCATAATGTATGCACGTGCATGTTGCTTAATCAATATTGGCGGCGCATCAAAAGGCAACGGCACCGAGAAGGTATTTTTTAGCCACTTCAACTTAATATTTCCTCCAGGCATTGACTCTGGAGCTACACCTAACAACTCCTCACACTTGTCCGGCCAAAAATGTCTATCACTGCCGGTAACGCACGGACCATCTATGCGGAGACCAAGTATCATAGCTACATCCTGTAGCGTAATAGTAGACTCTCCCATTCGGAAGTGGAAAGTGTTGGTCTCCGGCCTCCACCTATCTATCAAAGCGGTGAGTAGGGGCCAATCGAGCCTCATCCAACGAAGCTTTGAACATGTCAAGAAGCCGGCCCGTCCTACAGCTGCTATTATGCGCTCATCCTCTAGATGCCAACGGCTATGGCTGAGGCTATGATCAACCATAACAATATCCGGGCCTCTCTATAAAGTAAATGAATATATAAGAATACAATATTATAAGAATGTAATATTGAAATTATAAGAAACTTAGTTACCTCTGTCAAGGATATAACATGTGAACGGTGTCGAGGCTGGTCATATAGGACCTCATCACTCGTCGGTCCAGGCTCCATGGTGTATATACCTACACATACAATTATAACATATCAATAACCGATCCATGACTAATTATATTGTCTACATTAAAATAAATCACAATTTGAATATGTCAATTATTACCAATTAATTGCTATCTATTGAGTCTAGCTGGACAACGAGGTCGAGTATGTCCCGGTTGTTTGCAAATACTACATTTTTTATGCTTGACAATTCCTTCTCGTCCTTGATCCATGGTTCCCCTAATTCGTACAGATCGTGGTCGACCTGCTTGTCTCTTGTATTGAGGTGGAATTAGTCGTGGTCCAGTATATTCGGGCCAATACCGACTATCATCGGGTGGATGAAAACTCTCACTGTATGTCTTTCGGTAATGAATTGTTGAATACCATGGTGAACAATACCGATTATATGGAATTCTCGCACCACCCAGCTGATTGGAGGAAGCCGCAAGAACATGTGCACAAGGTATTTTTTGAAGTTGTGGTATGTTACATGTGCAAGTGCAATCAACATCAAACAGTTTAACGGTGTAGATACCATCATAATCATGTACCTGCCATTCATTGTCATTGAATACAGTAATTTGACATAATCTTGCCGCCTCAATTCTTCTATGCAAAATAGACTCATTCTTTGGTGTGTAACGCGTTGTCCAGTCTACACCGTCCTCACGCCTTTTGTTGAAGTATGAGTTTAGCCTATAGAACGTTCTTGCAACCAATGATTGTATTGGCATAGCTCGTGCTCCTTTAAGAACGCCGTTAAAGCTCTCGGAGCAATTAGTTGTCATCATGCAAAACCGCACACCCTCATCCTTACATAATGCCCATCGATGCTCGAATTGAGGCTTCAAGTTATGTTCAATCCAATTATGTGCATCTAATGACAAAGACTTGATCTTCTCCCTACAATGTTCATACACTAATGTATCGGTTGCACACCCAGCTTGCCACAAAAGATTTTGCAAATTAATCTCACCGTGTTTTTTCTTAAAATTATCTCTTATATGCCTCAAACAATATCGATGGTGATGTGGTGCACCAAAACCCTCATGTAATGCCCTTATAATTCCTTTCATCCTATCTGAGATAAAAGTAATTAATCTGGGCGCACGGACACTAGGAATCCACTTGTATATAAGTTCAAAGAACCACTTCCAACTAGAAGTATCCTCTACCTCCACAACTGCAAATGCTAGAGGAAATAAACCGCCATTTGCATCTACACCGGTCGCCACAAGAAGCACGCCTTTGTACTTGCCATATAGATGTGTACCGTCAATGCTCAATAACGGACGACAAAAAGTGAAGCCCTTAATAGCCGGACCAAATGCCCAAAATACTCGAGTGAACCTCTCCATCCCCGGTGCAATCTCTTAAGACAGTATTTCATATTCAGTACCTGGATTATTTCGCTTGATAGCTTCAAGATACTATGGAAGTAATTCATAAGATTTTTCCCAATCTCCAAATATTTTCGACAACGCTTTCCTCCTTGCATCATATGCCTTATATTTAGATATCTTAATGCCCCGCATATCATATACCCTTTGAAATATCTGACTTGCATTTAGATCAAGTTCAGCTCTAACTTCAGGCATAATTAGCTTACATATATAAGAGGAAGATGCAGAATAATGATCGACGTCCACCGACGGATTGCAACATGTATGAAGCCCGCAATATCTAGATATTACAAATTGCCCATTTGTTGATTTCCTCACAGCGGCATTTAGCAACCAAGGACATTTCCTGTTTCTCTCATCTTGCTCATTTGCATGCTCTACTTCATTCTTCTCGTTGAAATAACATTTTACATAGTAGTTGGTTGTATTAGTTTTTACAGGCTTGAATTTGACCCGATTTTTGATAGACCATTCTCGCACCCAAAGATCAATGCTTCCTTGCTCTCGAATAGGTCCCCTTTTTTAAAAGTGAAGTCCTCAGGCCGTTGAAAGTTTGGACCAACATCAACAAATTCAGCTTGCGAAGTATTTATCCAATCTTCATTATGAAACTCGTCGGGCAACGGATCTTCAACTTCCACATAATCATTGTTAACATTAAATTGATCCATCCAACGAGAATCATCATCGATTCCAACTGCCACATGCATGCTATCAATTTGCACGTCTTCTTCTTCAATATCTTCTGAGTCATCATTTACTTCTTCTTCTACAATTGATCCGGCCGGTAGATCACCCGTAACATAGCCCGATGCGTCGTTAAATATAATACTTGACGTCCCACCAAGACAATGCCCACTTAAATGTTGTAGTTGACACCACGGCTCTTGACTTGGAGATGTCATAAAACCACTCGACTCATTGTCTAAGTCCATCATCCGAGAAAACTCTCCTTGTGGTCGTGAAACTTGGGCAAATTCTTGAATCGGATACTTCTCAATGAACAACTCAACTGACACTTGCTTCTCCACTAATTGTTTCATGTCATTCAATTCCTCATCGTCGGTAATCGCCACAGCAATAGTTCTACTCTCATTTACCGGACAATTGAAGAACACTTTAATTGCATAACATGCTTTATTAATTTTCGTAACTCTGTGTATTTCATTCATCATTCCATCAAAATTTAATGACTTGGATAGCATAAACATTTTCCTAGAACCTCCCTCATACATCGGCATACTATTCAATCCGACGCCGAGGCTCCCATTGAAGAAGCAAATAATGGGTATAGAGTTTGCCATCGAAGCTGAAAATCAACAGTCCATCATATGTAAATAATCTATTATAACTGTAAATATTAATCTTAATTTAAAGTCAAATTTAAAACCCTAATCTCAACTACAAAGCAAATAATGGCTAAATTCCCTAATCCCAAATCACATTATTCATGTCTAAACCCTAATCATATCTAAACCCTAATCACATTATTCATGTCTAAACCCTAATTCCCTAATCTCAACTAAATACATTCCCAAATTTCAACCTTAATCCCAAATCTCAACTAAATTCATTCCTCTCAACCATAATTCCCAAATCTCAACCCAAATCCATTCCCAAATCCGAAATTTCATGGCTAATCAAAATTTAAAAAAAACAAAATTTACCTTGGTCGCCGGCGGCGGTCGGAGCGAACTTGGTCGGCGGCGGCGGTGGTCGGAGGGTCCTTGGTCGGCGGCGGCGGTGGTCGGAGGTCCTTGGGCGGTGGTCGGTGTCGGCGTCGATGGGTTTGAGGAGTGGGTGAAAGAGGGGGGGGTGAAAAGGAGTGCCGTTCAAAGATTGAAGTCGGGGGTTTTTTACCACCGATCGCACGGGACTGTAGTCCCGTGTTATTCGAAACTGCCACGAAGTACACGGACTAGCAGTCCCGTGTATGTCCTAAAATTATTCTGCAGCAAAACGACCCTTTTCAAAACGAAAGGGTCGGTTTTGCTATTTAAATTTAAAGAGTGTCGCGTTTTGCTATTTAATTTTCCAAATTGGTTGATTTTGAAAATTTGTCCATATATTATACATTATATATGTATACAATACATTATATTATATACATATATGTATACATATACACATATACATTATATATATATATATATATGTATATTGTATATATATATATATATATATATATATATATTATATATATATATATACACATATAATCATATTATATTATATATAATATATTATATTTATATATATATATATATTATATCATATATATATATATAATTACACCATGTCTGTACAAAGGCAATAATGATCTGATAGAAGAAAATGTTCTGTTACATGCTCGAGGAAGTTTGTGATGTTGTTATATATATACAACAAGGCACACATTTTTTTCTTAGCATACTGCATTTGGAGAGGAATTGCAAGCTATGTTGCATGGGTACTTTTATTTGGAGCTATACACGTGTTGTACTCATACTGAACACCAAAACTACAATGGACACTCTTGGATATTTGCATGCACTACCTCAAATGTGTATTCAATATATAAGACATGTTAATTTAAAACACTCAACATATACTTTTTGGATGCATAGCCTACACTTTGCATTAAAATTTTAAAAGTCTTTAGACAAAAGCTGGGTTCGTTTCAACCCGTACCCAGTTTAAAACTATGTTTACAAAGGGTATTGTGGATATCAAGTTAAAAAAATGATAGTTTTCTAATTTACAGATCTATATTTTAATGTGGAATTAGAGGTCTTGTCAGGAGAGGGAGCTCTTAGAAAGAAGTAAGGACAATATTTCAAAAAGCCCTTTATTGTTGAAAAAAAGGAACGAACCGCCCTGGCTGTCGGGTAACAAAGTCTAGGCCCTTCATTTCATTACCTCTTCTATGTATTTGTCTTGCTGAGTGAGACTGACGTAGTGCGAACGTGGAGTAGTGCTCGCTCGTGCTTCTTCTAACCGAAATATATAAATGTTATAGGAATGTAATTAATTTCATAGCACGTGAAACAAAAAAATAATAATATTGATCTAATGTAAACTATTTTATTATAAATGTATACGTAGCAGTGTTCCCCTACCGCTGTTATATATTGGATAAAAGTAACTTGGTCAAGTACGACTGGAAGAGTGGGTGCTTTAAGGCCACTCATTTTAGGTAGAATCGCGAGTTACTTTTACATAACTGATGGAACAATATTTAGTTATCTACATACAATGAGAACCTGAAGGCAACGATGGGAGATATTGAGCTGTTTCGGCTGTTCTTTGTTCTCCCTCAGGCCTCAGTGAAGAATTTAAGTATACGTCGGTTGGGCAAGATGAAAAATTGGAATTTGCGAAGCTTTTCGAACGCCTGCCTATTCCTGTCAAAGAACGCGTGAAAGAATTAATCTACATGCCCTCTATGTATAGTACCCTCCTTTTCTTTTTCAGGGTAACCTTTTTAGTGACAGTTTTGTTATGCTGCTAATCTACATGGACTGCTAAAATTGATATAATTAATTGCCAACTTTAAACATATGGCTCCTAGTTTCTGAAGGACTTGGCACGTGAAAAAAGGAAAATTTCTGCTAGTAATATTGAAAATTAATTGAGGATTTTTATCCAGCTCGGCCTAAACTGCTAAGCCCTACTGTTAGTCTGTTATAGTTTAGTTGTATCAAACTAGCATATAGTTTGGAATTACTCAAATCATGCCATCTAGGTACATTCTATTTTTGCTATCATCTTTACTA